ATTTAAACTAAACCCCTCCTCGTATTCTTAAGCTCGCCCGAGATTGCACTTAGCCTTCTCCCCGGTCACTCGGATTAAGTTCCATGACCGAAAGCCAAGGCATACGGCCGTACTGGCACAGCTGGCGTTAAAGTGCGCCCCTCTCGGCACACTGACCCAGTTTGGGCCCTTTCTCAAAGTACGTCCGACTCGTGTGTCCGTTTAGCGGAGCACGAGCAGAGGATTCCGCTTCGTCCTCCGTTCGACCCCCGGCTCGTTAGGAGCCTCAGGACGAAGCGAAGCGCCTCCCGATTTGCGTCGGTCCTTCCCCACGGCTCCCTTGCGGTCCGGAGCCCGGACACGACCAAATCGGTCTAACAATTCGGTTCCTCGTTACGTTCACCCCCTCAGCTCCGCATGCGCGCGGAGTTTGGACGTAACAATATTAATAAAATTTAATTCTGCGCGTTCACCTTGTATTTGACTCTAACTTAAATGTATTTTCATCATTGTGTTTGATATACTCACTCTTGAAGATCTCTGATCTGTTTTTCCTTTGAGTTTTGTTCTTCCTGTGTCATCTGCACGAGCTGCAATAGCCTCTCGGTCTCGGCGGCACTCCTGCCTGATTCTTCTTTCGCTTTTTCCAAATCCCTCTCGGCAATTTCGAGAGCCTTTTGCATTTCTGCTAATCTTTTGTCCGGTGCTCCGCCACTCTATTAAATTGAATAAATTTAATTTAAAAAGTCATTTATGAATTCGTTCATGTTTAACAAATACATTTAGTAAGATTATACAGTGTTATTAATAAGAGAATGACTTATTTTTTTAAATAATAAAATAGTATTTAATTTTTACGAAAAATAAAAATTAAGTAAACTTAGTAAATAAATTTTCTTAAATTCGAAATTAAAACTTTTGATATTAATCGCCATGACTTCTGCTTTTCAATTAAATAAATTATAATATAGCTACAAAAAGAACGTTTTGACAAATAATATAATTACCTTTTGTAATTGTTGCTCCAGTTGGTCCATTCTCGCTTTTCTCTTTTTGAGGTCTTGGTCGAGATTTTGGAGCGTCCTCTCCTTTTCCTCTATCGTCCTAGCTTTCTGATCTATGATCTTCGCTCGTTCTTCCATCTGTCTTCTCTGCTCGTCCAATTGTCGTCTTTGATCCTCCATCTGTTTCCTCTCTTGAATAGTATCGGCGCCAGCTTTCGCGGCTCCAGCTTGGAGTTTCTTGTTCGCCTCGTGCAAATCCACCTGCATTTAGAAAGGAATCAATTGTAGCGCATCCCTGGTACTTTCATCGCATGCACGACTTATTAATTTTTTCTGGATTAGCCAGACAGAAAATCAACTGCGAGACAAAAAGAGAAAGAAAAAATGATGTGCGCTGTAAGAGCTATAATAATGACCATTCCAAAAATGCAAAACCGACAACTATTTACTTGCGCTTTGGCTTAATGTGCTCTGCCATAACGTGTTTGTATATAAACCTCAATGTCCAAAGTGCTATTAGATCGTAAGGCTACACACTAACTCTCAGTATTCCCATTTTTACAAATAAAAATTGATGATATTTTTATTTCTTCTATAACTAATTATAGATTGAAATTGCTGCGTAAAATAGATTTTGTGAGAAGATTGAGAGCTGCGTTCTGTCGACCAACTAGTCGACGTGACAAAATTGTGAATGCATAAAGGTAAATAATAATAATAATAATAATAATAATAATAATAATAATAATAATAATAATAATAATAATAACAATAGTAATAACGACAATATTAGTAATAATAATAAAACGAATTGAACGCGACACAGGCACTCTTCCATATCTAATTATTATATAATATATATTGCGAGATATATGTGTACATATAGAGAGATATATTAATTGTAATAAAAACGTGGCGAGTATAATATAAAACAACGTATATACCTACAATGAGAAATATATATACATGAGCAAATGCTCGAGATGTGCATCAATCAGAGAGAGGAGGATATCATTTCTTTGAGAGTTCTCTGACATACTTTTATAAAGGTTTACATTCTTGCATGCTTCTTACACAGAAGATAATTTCAGAAATCAGAGAAATCATGAAAATATGAAGCGATACTTCCTCATCTTATTGATGCAGTGCATGCTTTTCAACATAAATTTTATCACGATTATTCCTTGCTGCCACGTTTAAACGCGACATAAGCGCAGCCATAATAATATAACTAAATATAGTAATAATAATCGGAAAAGAGAAAGAGAGAAAGAGAAAGAGAGACAGAGAGAAAGCGAACAAGCTATAATCAATCATTTAATGTTTCCATTGACTTATTTATCATTCCATTTCTAATGTCTGTGTTCAGACAATTAATCCTTTCATCTGTGTGTCAATTATCAGCTATTCTATATATTTTTTTGCGTTCGCTTTCTTTATCATATAACAATAATAATCACAGTAACACTGGGCAACTAAAAATACAACAACGATAATAATAATTAATAATAATAATATTAATGCTGACAGTAATAATAACAATAACGATAACAAACAACAGAGACGATATAATCATAACAATAAAAACTTTGAATATATTCTGATAACAATGAGTGATAAATAATAGTGCTTGGAAATATTGTCTGGAAGAAAGGAATTAAAGAAGGAGAGATCGTCGTTGGAGTAATGATCTTCTGATGAAGGGACGTTGCACTGTGCTGCGGATATCTGCTTGCGCACATGTATAATGTACGATAAGTGATATGTGCGCACGTGAATGGTGCAGCGTGTCTGGTTGGTCCCGAATCACGCATATTAACACACATATACATATATATATATATGTATATATTTGTTCGTTACATATTTTTTTCTGGCGGCGTGTATAACAGTCTATTGGACGCGTCTGTCTTCGAATCGAAGAAGAAGAGAAGGAAGAAGAAGAAGAGACGAGATTTATCGTTCTGCTTTTTCAACAATCGACTCGATTGCGTCGGGGGATATTTTTTTTTTTTTTATAGAATACGAGCAGAGTGCGCAGGATAGTAATGATAGTGATGGTAACAGTTGAGGTACTGATGGAGATAGTGATGGTGCTTATTATGATGATGATTGATGATGTGAATAGCTGAATTGTGAACTGTCGTCAGCAGCGCGAGCGAGCACGGCGTGAGGCCGACACGTGCGTCGGAACCGCCGCCGCTGCGGCTGCTAACCTGATTCTTCTCCAGTTCCTGGCACAGCATCTCGAGCTGTGCTTGGAACCGCTCGCGCTCCACTGTCGCCTGTTGAATCTCCTCGCGCGCGCGATCCAGCTCCTTTCTCAGCCTGACGACCTCTTGACCGTTCTGTTGCGCGGGCTGCTGTTGCTGTTGCTGCTGCAGCTGTTGCTGTTGTTGCTGCATGGTGACCTGCATCTGTTGGATCTGCTGTTGATGCGCATGCAATTGTCGTTCCGTCGTCTGTATCCGCTTCTGCAAGTCACCGGCCTCACGCTCGGCAGTGTCTGCCCGCTGCCGCTCCGTCTCGCATAACTTTCGCCACTGCTCAAGCTGAGCCGCGTCAGCCTGAACCGTCTCGGTGCCGCGCGACGCCAGCTGCTTTTGCAGCTCCTGCACTCGCTTCTCTGCCTGTTCGGCGCGCTGTCGCTCCTTCTGCTGCGCCTGCTGGACACTCTGTACCTGCTGCTGCAGCCGTTGTACTTCGCGCATTTGCGCGTCAAGCGCCTCCTTGGCGGCGCGATCGGGTGTCTGCGCGTGGGCACGCTGTTGGAGACGGCGAGCCTCTTCACGCTGACGCTCGAGCTCAGCCTCGTTCGCGCTAAGCTCCTGCTGGAAGTTGACCAGCATTTCCTGCGACTTCTCCAGTTGTATAACCAGTTGGTCGCGTTCTACCTGCAATTGCTTCGCGTCCGCTTCCCACTTTTCCTTCATCTTTTCCGAGTGTTTCTCCCGGTTCTCCAAGATTGCTGCCATCTTGTCGCGTTCACGTTGCGCCAGCTGCAGCTCGTACTGCATTCGGGCAAGTTCTTCGTTACCAGCGAGCTGCTGCTGTTGCTGTTGCTGCTGTTGCTGTTGTTGCACGCGGCGCAACTCCTGGCGTAGCGCATCACGTTCGTCCCGCAGCAGTTGCACATCCGCGGCGAGACGTTCGAGGTCCTTCTTACTGACCTCGGTAGCTTCCTGATATTTAGCAGTTTGCAGATGCGCTTTTTCGAGCTCTTTCGCGAGTCTGCCAGCCTCAAGTTCAACCTGATCACGCGACACAATCGCCTTGTCCAAGCTGGCTCGTAGACGTTCTACTTCAATACTTGCGCTCTCGGATCTCGTCTTACCCTCAGTCTGCATCAGCCGCTCCAGCCGCACAATCTCGACACGTAGTTTCTCGTTGTCTGCCTCGAGCGCATCAGCTCGTATCTTCACCTTGTCGTGTCGGTCGCGTATCTTTTCGGCTTCGATTCGAGCACGCTCGATCTCCGAACGATTGCGTTCCTGGTGCGCCGTAGCCTTGCCGGTCTCATCGCGCGCCCGCTCGAGTTGAAGCTGCGTCTCATGCAGCTTCGCCTCGAGCTCGGCGTAGTTCGATTGCGCCCTCTTCAGCTCGGCGTCACGGCTTTCCAATCGCTCTTGCAGTTTTTCCTTCTCCTGTAGTAGCCTACTACCCTCGCTTTGCCACTTTTCTTGCTCGTACTGGTATTTACCTCGCACGCCTTCCGCACGCTCCAGATCGGCGCGCAGCCTCGAAGCGTCCTGCTCAGCCTTCCGCGCGCGTTCGAGTTCCGCCAGCGCCTTCTCCAAACGGTCGCGTAGCCGCTCCACCTCCAGCTTCGCCCACTCATGCTCCTCCTTCTGTCGCTCCTGGCTCTCCTGGTACTTGCCGAAGCGCGTTGCATACCTCTCGACCTCCTCGCGCGCGTTCTCCGCCTCGGAACGCAGTCGTTCCGCCTCGCCCTGCGCCTTCCTCACCTCCGCCTGCTGACGATCGTGCTTCTCGTACATCTTCTCGATCTCAAGTTGCATACGCGCAAGCTCCTCCTGCGTCTTCTCCGTCGCCGCCTGTGCCTTGTTAAGCTGGGAATGCGCGCGCTCCAGCTCGAAGCTGATGCGCTCGTTGTCGGCCACCAACTTCTCACGCTCGTTTTGCAATCGTCGCAGCTCGATCTGTGACTTCTCATAGCGCTCGCGCACCATTTCGAGATCTACACTCAGCCGATCGATGCTCTCCTTTGACTTCTCCTCGTGCTCTTTCGTACGACCGAGCTGCAGCGCCGCGCGATCGTACATTTCCTGTACTCGAGCTAGTTCCTCCTGGGCCTTACGCGATTCCTCACGTGACTTGGTCGCCAACATCTGCTGCTTCTCCGTCTCCAGCTCGAGTCGATCCTTATCCGCCTCCATAACATCGATACGGTTCTGAAGGCGATACACCTCGCTCTGCGACCTGTCATATGGCCATAAAATATTTAGTCTTTGTTCTGTTTAACTATAATTTATCTACATAATTTGTGAAAATTTTATCGATAATGCTTGAAGTTAAAATTGTTTTAAATATCTTTATTTTTTTACATCTACTGTAATATTGTTATAAATCAGTTATTAAGTCATGTTACGTTATACTCGAAATAATTAAATCTTTACAATTTAAATAGCCAGTATTACCTATCGTATTTTTCCAACATTTTTTCAAATTCTTTGGTAGTGTTTTCTCGCTCTTCATGAGCTTTGTTCATAGAATACTGTGCCTTCTCCAGTTTCTCCTTAAGGATTTGGATTTCAGTCAGTGCATCATCTCGCTCCAACTGTTTCATTGCAATTGAGAAAGAACCAGAAAGAAATTTCAATTTTCTTATAATGTTTATTATATTATGTAACTTTTATGCAGAATAATATCAATATTGGCTAATGAAATGGAATCTGTTTCATTCATATATCAAAATGATTTTAAAACAGTTTATAAAGATTAAGAGATAATATCATTTATTACTGATCCACTAAGAAGCTAATTCAACTCACCGTTAATTTCTGATGAGTATTGTGCGTCTTCTCCCATCTCTCCTTTACCAAGTCGAGTTCTGAGAGTACATTTTCCTTCTCGCGTTGCATCTTGGCTATCTGATTCTGCTGGAATTCTATCCTCTCGTGCATCTTTTCCATCTCCTCCTGGAAGCTATCTCGTTCCTTCTGTAGTCGTTGCATTATAACCTGACAAACAATTATAAAGGAGTTATTGAATTATTGTTAAATTTTAATCTCGATTTATCATTTTTAGCTAATTGCGCTTACCTGAGCTTTTTCGTACTTATCCTGTAGTCGATCCACATCAAGCTGAATCGCCTCCCGCTCTTTCTGCATTCTCGTTGACTGTCCTAATGCTTTGTCAAGCTGACTCTGCAGATTCTCGAAATCGTAGTTCTGTTTTTCTCTTTCCATTTGCATCTATGCAATTATTATATAGCATATGTTAACCGTACTTTAATGAATCAATAACATACATAATTAAATTAAGGGCAGTAACAAAGGATTAAAATTGATGTTATTTATTTAACACATTAATAACTTTCAAATTGATTAAATAATTCCGAACTAAAATATATACGTTTTAAAGCTGATAGAGATATTTATAATGATAAATTATCTGTCCATACAACACTTTTGATTCTTTCAAGTTTACTTACTCTACGAACTTCCGTCTGCGTCTTATCGAGCTTTTCCTGCAGCTTGTCGGCCTCACTTTGCGTCTTGTCCAATAAATTCTGCAGCTTGTCCTGCTGAAGTTGCGCCTTACCGAGGGTGGCCTGCGTGCGCTCGAGTTCTTCTTGCGATTTTTCGAGTTCGCCGATCGCCTTATCCCTCTCAGAGTGGAGACGGGCCACAGATGCCTGTGCTCGATCGTATTCTTCTCGCAGACTTTCCTGTTCGCCTTGAGCATTCTCGAGTCTCGCTTTAAGCCTGTACACTTCGCCTTGACTTTTCTCCACCTTGAAAAGAAAAGGATTTTTATCTGATGCCTTATAAATTTAATTAACTCCGAATTACATGTGAACTTAACATTTTTCTGCAGTTAATTGAACAAACTGCAATTACTATTTTTTTTTTATTGTAAGTTCCACTGTTTCTTTAAGAATCATTAAAATTATCATAAGTGCAATAATAATCGCATAAGTAGAAACTGCAATTTTTTGATGCTGTCGGTTATAAATACAATATAGTAGGAATAATGAAAGTTTATATGCATACTTCCATCATTGTAGAGAAGTGCTTTTTTCACAAGTACGTCCTTTGCAAAGTAAACCCCTCAATTAAGAAGATATTATTTGTAACACAAGACCGAACGTAAATGTGATTTTCCGCGGTAGAAAGATTTATTCGTTCTCACGGTCTTTTATTTTCCGTCATTAACTTGTCTCCGCGTGGAGCCAACTCAAATGGTAAGCAGGACAAATGCGAACTTAAGCACACAGTTTAGCCATGCTCCTTGAAGAAACGAGCGATATGGTAATGTACGCGAGTAATTTTTCAGTCACTTATGTAGCGGGATCGTTATTTCGCTGCTGGTTGCAGACACCGGGTTCAGGACGAAGGCGTGATTGGAAATTGGATCTTATTGGGTGGACAAAGATGTAAGCAATGATGTAAGCGATAGCAGAAAAGCGAGACAAAGGAGAAGAAACGAGAAAATGAGAAAAATGAGAAAGAGTCTTTCAGGTAAATATTGAGAATTCTTGATGAATTGATCGCGATTAAAATTATTTGTTTGCGAAGATACGTGACCGATTTAAGCACGATCCTAGGAAAGTGCTCGTCGAAATGAAACTGCCGAGTTGCAGTCCGAGATGGATCTTCAGTCGTCCATTAATAGATCGCCGAGTGGCGACGTATGTATACAGGTCGTATGCTCCAACAAAATAGTCCAGGTTACTTCTGATCAATCGATAGCACTGTAATTGATGTATAAATAACATTCCCGCTACGAAGAAGATGAGGTAAGGCGTCGCGAGATCGAAAACTCCGAATCGGGGGCTTTTATCTCTCTCGTGAATTAGGACAAGTGATACTTTCATAATTCCTTAAATACGATTCTGAGATATATATAAAATACCACCCTGCTAACACATAAACGATATCAAATAATATAATAAAATAACTATAGTCGAAACTGTAAAACATACATACATGGAAAAAAGAAAGCTAGCCGTAATTAAAAATTGCGTAACTAAATGCCCTAAATGATAGATATAAAATATGGACAATTAAAATATAAGTATCATAGTTAATGTCTTAGCTGTGCTACGCTATAGTAGCAAATTATTTCGCCATAGTTTATAAATTTATAGTTACCACAGCAAATATATTTTAACAAATCCAGATTAGCTACTGCAGAAATATTGTTTTTCCATGATATTTAACAAATTATGACAAATCAAACTCATCAATCTTCGTGAGTCGAAAAAGTCAGAGAAATAAAAAAATTTTGAAATGAATTTATTATTAACACACACACACACATTTTGAATTTATTATAATTTACTATTAAAGTTCATGTATCGTATCGCAAACGATAAAAAAAAATAAAAAACTTACCTTTTCTTGGAGGGTTGCAGCTTCAGCACGTGCCCTCTCATTGTCCGCTTGCGTGACTCTCAGCTCGGTCTGGGCTCTTCTTAATTCTGTGGCCGTTTTGTCGGCCCGTTCCTGAACTCGCTCCATCTCCTGGGACGAGTTCAGTGTGCTTCTACCGTAACCCTGTGATCGTTCCATATCATGCCGCAGCCTTTCGTTCTCCAGTTCCAACCTGGCCAGCCGCTGCTTCGCCGCCTCCCAGTCTGCGCCGCTACGTCCGACCTCGGAGGCGGCCTTGTCCAGCTCAGCCTTGCTCTTGCCAAGCTCGGATTGTGAGCTCTCGAGCTTCGCTTCTAACCGGTCCTTTTCCGCCTGCGCTCGTTCCAAACGTGCGCCTAATTTCTCGACCTGGCGATTCATGCATGCAAAAAAAATAATATAAAAACTTTGTTTTGTTAATGTTTTATAATTGTATCATAGTATATCTCGTTATTTAGTCTCTCACAAAAAGATGTTTAACAAATTTATCATTTATTTTATTAATTATTTATTTTACTTTAATAGGGTAAAGAATGAGAAATTAAAAAAAAATTCGTTTATCTAGCCTTGCTCACCTCGGATTCTAAAGTATGTATTTTCATTTTGTATTCGGCGATTTCTCTTTCGTGCAATTCCCTCTCCTCCTGTTTCTCCTGTTCTGCTCGATCCCTTTGCTCACGTAATTGTGCCATTTGCTTCTCTTTATCCCCAATCGCCTCCTCGAGACTACTAAGTGCACCTTCGCTGCTGCAGTGATGCGCTTGCATTGCCGTCAGCCTGGCCCTGGCCATGTCGACTTGATTATCTTTCTCCTTCAGTAGGTCCTCCAGATTCTCGATCTAAAGTCAACAGCAAACTCAGCAATAATTGCAAAAGACGAAGAGCGTTAGCTCATTCATCAATCGATTGTTAGTACAGAAACAAGCAAGAATATTAATTTTTTTTATTTAAAAACAATATCGTTATTTCTAAAGTGAGACAACTCAAAAAATGTAATTATCTGTATTGTACTGACGTATTTCTGTTAAGTTGAAAACGAATTTATTGTCATTCTTTTCTAAAAAAAAAAAACTTATTTTTTTAGTCTGTCACAAAGTTGTTTAAAGTAAGAAACCGATGTCTTTCTCTGTTTCATATAGTTCTGGAGATCTTTAATTCATTTCTAAAATCGATATAATCATGACACTTTTAACTTTTGATATAATAGAAAATCTTACTTTATGTTTAATATCGCGTTAAATAATGTAAGTTACTGAACTATCACAAAAGTGATTAAATAAATGATAAATTAGTACACATCAAAATTACGCTATGTTTAGGAAATTAAACTCAGAATGATCTTTTTATGCGATTTTCACGTAAATTCGGCGTATTCGCAGTCAGAGACATTGTATCATGCAATCTCCCAAAACATCAATATGGGATTGTAAATTATCGTACCACCTACCTGCTAACGCATTCTCTCTTTCTTTCTCTTTCGTAGACCTTCTTTTATTCACATAATTATACTCAGACATCATCGTCACGACAGGCACGCTAATGTAAAAATAAATACGGTGCTTGTGTGAAAGCAAATAATAGATTCTATAAATAGCATAACATAACGTAATATAAATACAATGCCTAATAATGGTACAGGCGATAATCAAATTAAATATTTAAATTAGGTGTAGAAATTAATATAAATTATGTGTATAGAAACTAATTATATATAATATTACATAAATTAGATAATTAGCATACATAATAAAATAATTAATTTACAATTTGTTATTAAACAAATACAATAATGGACGTATAAGGGGAGTAGAACATTTCATATTTGACAAATTAACATGTTTTCTTATACATGATGTAGACATAATCAACGCAAAACAACAAATCAATTAATAACATTAATTTCATATTTACGTAGGAATATAAGCGCCATAACCCATTACAGAAATGATAGACGAAAATAATACTATACAAAACCACAGAATAAATTTACCTCCTCGTTTTTCTACAAATTTCTCATCTCTAGCAATTAATTGCAGTAAAGGAAAGGTTCTACGCATAAGAATCGAGTGTGTTATAGTAGTTCAATGAAAATTAAGCAGAAGCATAATAATCCTGTGAATAACTTTATCGCTCGTACAGAACATAAGAGATTAAAGAAAAGGGAAATGCAAATTAACAAGAAATGAGATACGTGACAGAAAACTACGGATGCGAATACAGTGCAACTGAACGTAAAGTCTTCGTCAACTGCGTCTTTGCAATTTACATCCGCGACTGTACATCGATTAGTAAACGCAAGATACAACAAACATTGCAAATACGTTGCAAGATACGTCATATAAAAGGCGAGTACGCGCAGAAACACACACACAC